TCTAAAACAAAAAGTGGGGGAGGGAAGCATTATGTTGAAATTGTTGCTGAAATGGAACGAGTGTGGCTTTCTTTCAAAGAAATATTAGTCTATCATGAGACTACATCACTGTCACTCTTTTTTTTAAGATTATCTGAACAGAAAACAGTATGAGTTTTCCAGCAAAGTTTTTGAGCATTCATTAGAGTCCTTAAATAAAGAGTATTTAAACCCAGACTGCCAACACAGCAGTAAACAGCATTGATTACACCTTTGTTTACAAAGCAAAACATTAAAACCAGGAGACTTTCAGTATCCTGCTGTGTATCTGGTATCTCTAATATCTCTCTTTTTAAAAATCTTGTTTCTTGCAGCAATTAAAAATGTGGCTGGTATCCACATACCCATTAAAAACTGTGCATTTTAAACTATTCCTGATTTAAAGTAGATGCAATACCATACTCACAAAATCAAGTTTTGTTAATCTAAAAGTCACAGAAATGTTCAAATTCTCAGAGGAAACATTTAATGAACAAAGGGATTACATACTTCTACAATAATTTATTAAGATCTACAGAAGTGCTAAGACAATTTCTGGCCTTATATTTCTACCTTTTTGCATTTAATAATTATGTCTGACTATGCAAAAATGGCAACATTCTCAGAAGTTACAAGGTGTTTGTTTTGACCTTTTGTTATTTCACAGTGTCTGTTATATAGCAATAGCATGAATGCCATACTTGTGTGTACTCTCAAAAATAATAGTGTACTTAGATTTTTCAAGTTGGATTCATTTGCATCTCACTTTCTTCTCACAAGTCAAACTTGAAAGATTTTATTTAACATTTAAATAGGAACGTGATTCCAGGATTTAATCCAGTAGTAGGAAGCTTACTTTTCACAGATAACATGTTTGAGTAAAAATGAAAGTGGATGCATTGGCACAGGAGCAGATCATAAGCCACTTCAGCTGCTTTTGAACTGAATAGCAAAACTGAGGCTCACTTTCCTCAGAAAGGCAGCTGACTTCCCTGGGTGACAGGTAATCTATTGGGATCTTCCATATAGGCTTTAGGTCCATACAATTTTAATCAGGGTGTACAAAGAACTCTGCATCAATCTATGCTTCCCCAGTGGAATAATTTTGTTTTGTCTAAGCATAGCTGGAGACAAGATCACCCTCGACATCTTTTTTTCTGTGAGGCTCTATTGAAATCTGGGTGACCTAATTTTTCAGTTACAACAGGCATTTATGACTCAAGCTGGAAAATAATTTTTAAGCTCACTAAGTGTGGTATTTCACTACCATTCTGCTTTGGCAGTTTTGTAGGCTGAGGACAGCTTTCTTTTAGTGACTTTCTAGATAGAAGTGGCTTAAAAATGTCCTTCTCCAGCCAATAAAATTGAGCATAGGTGCTGTTTCAACACCACATCATAGCAGTAAACTGTTACGGGGGCATCATGTGCATACAGCTTCCTCATCTGGAAAGCCTTCCTGGAGCATATAATCTCAAATCAAGTCTCAAATAGCAATGCCTTGAAAAAGTCCATTAAGAAAAACTACTTTTATGTCTTGTTCAGTACATGAACTACCAATAGTACTTTCAAAATATGATGAAAAAAGAGAAAAATGATAAGGAAAATACAAACTTTAGCAACAAGGGTCACTTCATGAACTATTTAAACCATAACCCAGAAGAAAAAAAAAAATCAACATTGTATTAATTTCAAATGTTTTTCTGTTATGGGGGCAAAGCATAAGTATACTTGATTAGACATGCAACATGATATATACTCAGAATTTTACTAAAGGCAGAATATACTCATTCATAGGCATATGCAGCACAGATGTGTAAACACTGGAATAAAATTTATTCTCTCTGAGGCTTCTCTTTAACTCCTCCCCTCTTACAGGAAAGACAACAGTCCTCTTTGTTATGCTTGGAACTGGGAGTGTAAGCCAAGCTCCAATAAAAGGCTACATCATTGGCTAACTTCTAAATAGTATTAATAAAAAGATGGAATAAATTCTACTTGGATTCAAAGCTGCATCTCTTACTCTCACACAATTTTGTAAACTGGCCTTGCATTCTGCCTGTCAAATCTCAGGTTAAGCAAGTAACTGAGATCTCTCCCACTTGTTCTAAAGCCTGTTAAATGAAGTTAACAGAAACAGATTTAATGCAAATGTGTATGAGGGAGAAGGTCTGCATGCTTGCTCCCTTGTAATACCCTAGGAGTCTGGATGTATATCAGGAAGTGTTACGAGGGAGGTGAAAGAATTTGTTCCCATAATTTGTGCATGCTCATCCAGTAGTTCTGTGTCTGCTGCCTTTTTAACGTGTAGAGCTGATTATCATAAATAGTGAGTGGTCTTCCTGTAAGTGCCAGCAAGCAATCAGATCCAACTACAAGTCTAGATCTAAGCTACCTCCAATTCCTGCTCTGTGACATGATGAAAAGTCCACATCTTTTTCTCCTGTTTTGATAGAACTACAAGTGAGTTTGGGACAATTTTTTCCAAGCAGGGCTGGAATCCTAGCCCTAGCCTTGCTTTCTGAAGGACAGAGACTCACCTCGCAGTGTTGTTTTGCTCAACAACTGGCTCTCCTCCAACCAAAAAGGTCAAACGCATATCTCTGAACTCACACACTGGCCATATAAAAAAGACAGAACAATGATCATTCTAGCGCTGAACTTCCCGTAGTTTTCAAGATGGAGGATCCACAGGTTAAAACACAGATGCAGCTTTGAGCCCAGCATCTATAGAACTACAATGACTCTTTCTGTCACAAGTATTATGGCAGTTAATACTTAATTTAAAAGCCTAATTCTGGCAGAGGGAAGGCAGAAGAGGAAAGAGAACATCTCTGTTTTCACTCCTGGGTTTTTTGTGTGCATATACTTAGCCTCAATACTGAAGGCAAAAATGCATGAAAAAGTGACCTGAGTATTATATAAAGTTACTTAGAAAAGCAGAAAACAAGTCAAAAGAACATCCATGATTACTTTTCATTTTTGAATGATGGCAACTCAGTAAAAACAGTGGATTGAAGGGCAGCCATCACCTAGAAGACTCATTTTCAAACAGAAAATGAGTGTTATGAACAGGATAAAGTTATCAAGCACTGGCAGCTCTGCAGCAGGCAAAACCTTATAGCATGTAGGAGAGGCATTTTGGTTTGTTCTTACCACAATATTGCTTAATGTATCGCTTATGCAAGTCAGCTTGCTCACACAGGTTCCTTGCTGTATGTTTATAACAACCATACACAAAGTCACAAGGGCACAAAACTACTAAACTGAATTTTGCTTTTATGAAAATTGAAACATTCAAAATCATACTAATTATTAAAATTAGCTTTATTTGTGAAATGGAAAGTACACTGTAGAAAAATAGGTGATTTTTATACCTGAGAGAATTCTTATGAACCAACATTCTGGGGAGATGACTGAACTTAGAAAGTTGTTCATTGTTGTAATACCAATTTTAGTTAGAATTTACTTTGTTCCCCCATCTGCTTACCATCTCCTCCTCCTGCTCCCTCTCGTATTGCTGTGAGGTTATATTCCCTTGAGAACTTCTCCTGTTTCAAAGTTGCAGGAATTTTAATAAAGTTGCAGTCACTGGGCCAAAATACCTAAATGTCAGTCTTCAATCTCCCTGACCCCTGGCAATTTGCAGTATGTATTCTGCTCATAGCATGCTACACAGTAAAAGGCTTACTTCATTTCGGCAAATTATGCAAAAGAAAGTAAATATTTCCTATCTATACATTTTCCACTCCAACGCAGTTGTAATATGAAAGCTGCAAATCAAAGATGCAGGAAAGATCACGTAGCTCTTGTCAATTGTTTTTACTGTACAAATACAACAAGTACTGGAGCTAAAGAATGAAGTTACGTTTGAGGATCTATAAATCCTTCCACTGGCACAGTTATGTCATTGTTATCAAATATTTAAACAAATTACTACTTTAATGAAAATAATATTTGTGGTTGTCCTAGTCAATAATGAAACACAATATATAGGTGAACAAATTTCTGGTTTGGATTTACTGCTTTGAAGCTATAGGGAAATTCTATTTGACTGTAATAAAACCATTTTGTCTTTTTTGGTATGAATACATTTTTGAGTATTTCCCCAATTTGGTTGATTCTGATCAAAATCGGTGTGTTAAAATTTTTAAACATGCACAAATGCTCACTTCATAAACTATTATCTTTCTTGTCTTATACAAACAATTTAGTGGATTATTAGAAATATTTATATCTTAAACTTTATAAGAAGGCACAGAAAGTATCACAAGCATCTACCTAAGCAGATTGTTATGTTGGAACATCTCATTTTGTAAACATTTGGGGTTTTTGGTCTACTGTATGCTAGGTGCCACTTACATAAATCCTGATGATTGTGAGTCAAATCTTTGTAGTGCAGACAATTACAACCTTATTGGAACTACTGCAGCTTTCATTTGTGGAGACTATCTGGTGGGCTGAGACAGATTTAAATATCTGATCTATGCCAGTGCAATCATGAATGGTATGATTTCTTTACTTAGAAGCTTTATCCTACAAATAAACATTTTAAAAAAGTATATGAGAAAAATGTGGTTGGAAATAATACATTCGTTGTTTAAAAAACATTTCAACACCTTCCACACCCCCTCCCAAAAAAGGCATATCATAAAATTTATGTTGATCTGAGCACTCCACCTGGGTGTATCTTGACATTTAATACTTATAACCATTAAAACTGTTTCCACTTCGTAATGCCAACATTTTTAGAAAGCAAAACTCTGCCTCAGATTCTAGAAAATCTTTGTAACTGTTTTTTTCTCAACATCACTGAGAGAAAGGAAAATAAGCACATAATACTGGTATTAAAGAAACAAGCAACATATAGAGTGTGACATAAAAGTGGTTTGGTACAGATTATGAAAAAAAGAATGTGTGTAAGAAAATAAATTTAATGTTGTCTTAGCATGTGAGAATTAAGTCCAGTGCAGTCAATATTGTCCTTATTTCGTGAATAGCCAGTACATTAGTGATATGCTAATATAGATGACACACAGCATTATCCAGTCTATTCTTGTAATAGGTGGCCTGTTACCTTTCACGTGGAGAATGGCACTTGATGAGACAGTGCCATTCAAGTTTTTAGCCCGAACAACATAGAGGCCAGCATCTTTATCACACACCTTCTGAATGAACAAAGTATGCTTTGTCTCCTTTTGTAAAAGCTTTAAGTGCTCATCTGCAGTCAGTTTCTGGCCCTTCTTGTACCTGAAGCAGAGAGTCAGTTTTCAAGTCAGATTTATACCACTGTATGTCAAACAGAACTTCGCAAATTCAGACAACCTCTATAACACTACGTTGACAACAAGAGATAGAGCTCACTACTGTGCTCTCATTCCTCAGTTTTAAAGTTATATGTAAATATGGATGAATATTAAACAATTCAAATTGCTAAATAATAACATTCTTAATACTAGAAAATGTGGTTCTGAAAATGGTTTTCAATGGACAAGTCACAATTACCTCACTGCAGTACTGGAGAGAGTAGCATGAAGGCCTGGGCCCTCAGTTTTGTGCTGGAACATTTTTGCTAGTAAGGTGTTGAGTCAATCCACATTCAACTCATGAATAAGATCGTAAAATGCATAAGCAACGTACAAACCTTCTGGACTTGTGTCTTCAGTATAAAAGAACAGTCAAGGACCTATTCCTCCCCTCCACCCCAGCCCACTTAACATTTACTTAGTTCACAGCATGAAACCATCAAACAGGATAGAACGATGCATCAGGAGTTCTTTCAGAGAACTGGTGTCATATTCTAACACTTGAGGATCTGTCACCATGTATTGGTATTGACTCCTGATTTACATATTGGAAGTGAGGGAAAATTCTGGCTCTTCTTGCCTCATGATGTTTCAGCATAAGCTACATACTTAGAAATACTTCTTCACATTTATATCCAATAAAATGACTACATCAGTACAAAATACATGGTATTGGTGAATTTTTAATTACAAAACCCCACATTTTTTTCTGTTTTCATAAATTTCTAATTTGGAAAATGCTTTCAGTTGAATGTTATTTTTTAAAAGACCATATATCAACAGTCTACATATTTTTGAGCTAAATTAATACTTTCTTATGATAAAATAAAACTGAAGGTACCTCATTTCACCAACAATGCTCCTCAAAGTGTAGAATACTGGGATTAAAAACAAAGTAACTTTATTGATACCAACAAAATATAGCACCAAGGTTGCAGCATCCAGTATCTTTCTCAGTGCCATAGAAGCAAATTCAGCTTACTAAAAGCTTACAGTTTGCCTAATTCTTTACATGTGTAATAATAACCTTAACATCAAAATGTTTCCAATAAGAAGCATATCTAATTTTAATAAACTACAAGAAAGGCCTCCATTCTGGAATTCTAATGGAATAAGTGGTGAAATGGCAAATGATGGTAAATTTTAGGAATACGCCAACACATGGAGGACTGCTACCAAAATGTTTAAATCCTGCCCCTCTTTCAGTCCCTATTCCCTTTGGCAGAGAATTTCTAAAAATTCATCTTAAAAGATGTTTATATTACATCATCTGTATTTCTCACAAATGCAGTATAAAGTAATCTAATTAGACATACAGCAATTCAGAGAGAGAGCACACACAAATATATAATATAAAACTGGTTCTCTTAGTGTAGACATTTAGTTTGTTGGTTTTTTTAACCTGTAACCTCTCTCCAGTTTTTAACAACTGACTCTCACATATATATACATTCTTGTCTCTATGTAGTGGCTATATAAATATTTTAGTGTGCACGCACGTGTATGTGTCTGTCTGTCCATATATAGTGCCAAGATCCTGAGAAAATGCAGGTGAATTTACTTGTGGTAAATCTGGAGTGCACATTTATTTTAAGAAATTATTGAACAAGTGGAATGTCATATTCCAGAATACAAAAACTATATGATGTATTTGCTTAAAAAACATTGAATATGCTTGCAGTAATTTGATGCTCTCATTATTCATAAAATTAGGTACAGAGAGATTATTTCAAGTAGGTTAATTGTCAAAAGCAATTTTGACGTGGGAATCATGCAGAAGAGTGGAGTAGAAAGGATACAAGCCATTTATTCTACTCTATAGATTAATTAATTTGGTTGTAAGTGGTTCAAGGTGTCTTGCTGATAGGTATTTTACTTCTCATTATAAGCTACGCACCATGTCAGTGTAGGCTCTGGGAATCCCGTTACTTCTACTTCCAAAGTTACTGGAGAACCTTCCATGACGGTTTTGTTAGACAGAAGCTGGGAGAAGTTAGGCGCCTGTCCAGTTAGGCTGGCCATGCTGTTCTTTTCTGATGAACTTTTAATCTCTTCTCGGGTGACCATCTGCCTCTGACAGCTTCTGTTGGTGTCTGATTGAAACATGAAACCTGAGAATGCATCAGGCAAAGCATGCAGCCTGTCCTGGGTTTTAGTACAGTTATTCAAATCATGCAATTGTTCTTGTGTTTCTGCCATGCTTTTATGAAGTTCAACGTGTTGCAAATGTGTTTTGCACACTTCACTCCTCATGCTATATACTGGTTTGGCATTTATAGTGCAGGAAGCAGCACTAGCTTCAGATACTCCTTGCAAGCTACAAGTCAAAGGAGATACTGCTCTGACTTTTGGACCAGAATCTGTTGAAGAGATACAAAACTTCTCAAACTGATCTGATGGGCTTTCCATTCTATTATTTGTAGCACCAGCATAAGCAGAATTTGTTAAGAGATCAGACGCTTCCATCACTTTTTTAATACTAGTGGTTTTCTGCATTTGCAAGCTATAGGAACTGACATGCAGACTATGAGAACTACAACAGCATTGCTCTTCTAGCTCTGTTTCAGAATGTAAGAGGTTGGATTCTGGTGTCTCAGAAAGCGGTGGTAAAGAGATATCATCAGGTGATATACACTCATATTCATCTCCAGAGGGTATTTCTTCTGCCAGGAATTCAGTCTGTAAACGATCCTCTTTGGCTGAAGATGACAGCTCTGTATCCTGTGAAACAAGATCCTCACCAGCTGAACAGATAATTGGAATATCAGCCAATTTATTCCTCTCCTTAAATTAGGAGGGGAAAGAAGAGAAGGGAAAGAATAAGAAAAAGAAAAACAGAGAGAGAGGATGAGTTACCATTCTATGCATCCCCTTTTCATGCAGAAGCTAGCAACAATATTTGAAATATTTCTTCTAATTAAGCTTAAGGTATTCTGAGAAGCAGGAGGAAATACATGGAAAAAGACAACTCCTCAGAAAATTTTGCAACAGCTAACTGGAATTTCAAACTGCTTGGATAGATTCTAGTAGATATTATAATAATTATATATAAGCATTTATTATAACAGTAATAATAAAAAGTACCTCTTTCTATAAACAAAGGACAACCTGTGCATTTCACGTAGGTGCTGTTTATAAGAGCATTTGCAATGGGAAGGTGGAGGAGAAGATGGCCTAATTACATCTAAATGGCAAACAGTTACATAGCAATAAAAATATATTAACAGTCAAGTTACTGGACTTTGACTCTTTGAGAAAGAGAATCACCAGTCATGTTCAAGATTTACAGAATTAAACCAACATCTTTAAGATATTTTCCAAGCATTTTATATTTCCCTCATTTTTTGCCAGCTGTTTGAAGATCCAGTCCAAACATTAACAGAAAACAATGTTAAAATGATTTTTATATTATCTTGGATCCAGAATAAAAAAAAACCCAACCCTGTCATCATGTTTCAAAAAGAATTGAATGGGGCATAAGTGCATTAATTTTAACCACAAAGCATCAAAGACATTATCTAATTCATTAATTAATTTTCTGCTGCTTGATTTTTATATAAATGTGTAATCACATATTCAGGCCTATTTCATTTGTGCCAAGGGTCTCAGCAAAGGTGTTCATAATGTTTTCTTATGTTATTTTCTCATTGTTGAGTTCTATACAAAAATATGTGATCTATTAAGCAATGTTTCTATCACCTATAAACTGTTAAATCAATGGGGTGGTACACTGGATGTCATTGCTTTCCAAACCAGGTCTCTTTGGCAGTATCCAGCAAAAAAGTGCAGTGGCACATTCGTTTCAGCTTTCTTTTTGCTTTATTGCTCTAAATAGAACCTCATCATCAGTGCACAAAATTAACAAAATAAAAGTAAAAAGAATTAATAGAACCTTCATATGTGCCCTGGTCCTCTAGATATGGTAGTTTTAATATAGAAGTTTTTCCAAGATACTACATTTCTTATTTCAAAGCCATGTGATTCATGCCAGATCCATGAATGAATGACTGGAAGAAAGCTGGGATTTTACTGTGTTTATTTTACTAAGTAATTCAATTCAGTTGTAAGAGTAAATTCAAGTTTGGGTATTAAATGTGTTTTTCACAAGCATCCCCTGATGAACTCTGACCCCCAAAAGTGTCTTTCAGTATGCATATATCATGGATATAAACATGATAACTTATAATTGACTTTCCATATTGATGAAATGTGTCATATTTTCCCCTTTCAAATTACTGGGAAAACAATAAATACTGAGTTACTTCTTCCTTCTGCATGTATTCAATTTTTTTATTGGGGTTTTAACTAATTGTAATCTATTCCTAAGAAACTGTTATTTTTAGAGATTAATTCCAATACATTCACATAATATATTTTTCTAGGGTTTGCAAATTTGACTGTCACTCAGGTCTTTTAACCTATCAGCATTGTTCTAAGTAACTCTCTCAGTTTTAAGCCTGACTGAATTTGCAAGTCTTTCTTAAATGAAGCTTTAATAGGCACGTTAGTAGCAAATTCTGGCTGTTTTGGTCTGACTTGCACTAACAAATTTAATAAACCATATCTGATTAGATATTAAGAAGTTGAAAAATTCCTTAGAATTTTAAATTCTGAGAAGGTATATTTAAAAATCATAGGTCAAAATTTCTGAATAGCCAGTCTCTACTCTCTGAATCAAATCAATGGTCCAGATTCATTCTGTCTATTGAGGAGTCTACGTATATATGCACAGAGTGGCATACATTTGGGTAACTACAGGAAGGCCATGACAACATAGGAATCTTCCAGTGACTAATCTAGGATCTTAGTGCAGGGATGTGCTGTCAGTTTCATGGTCACCTTGTCTGGAAATCACAGAATTGAACAGAGTTATTTCAGACTTTGCTGAAAAATGATCCTAGGGAAAATGCTGGGGGAAAGAATGACAAGTGAGCAGCGAGTGAGCAAGCTGTCAGACAGGCCTTGGCAGCATGAGGGCTTTCAGCCCTGGTGTGCACCTAGGATCAAAGAAGCATGAGGATGAATGTGCCATGAGAAGGTTTAGGCCACTTTTTCGATGGTGATATTTATTGCTGAAGCAAATTAATACTGTAAAACAAGTTTGCAGAATTATAGACAAAATTAGAGCCACTGGACGAGGGGCTGGGGATGAGCCAGGTCTTTCTTCGGAAAGGATGGAAATGGAAGACAGAAAAGCTCTAGTGAGGAGAACCTGCTACTTCTTTAAGTGAAGTATGGAGTGACGAAAAGGGTGGAGGCATAATAGTTGCCATACTTCACATCTGATATTTGCTGTTTCACATACCCTTGCCTTCTCCCCTTGGCAGCTGAGGCACAGTCTGACAAGGACTGACAAAGCTGTGGCCTAGTAAAATAGGAAATAGGGCTATGGACATCTGCTGGGTGAGGTGATTCTCCTGAGGGTGGCTCTTTGGAACAGTCACAAAATTTTGAGTGAAATCTGGGCTCCAAGTCAATGGTGAAACTCTCATTGACTTGGAATGGAGGTAAAAAAATTAATTAGGCTTAATTTTGGCTCATTAGCAGATTACAAGACATTCTGTATTGATCTGAAGGGAATGTTACTATTAGTTGAATTTCTACAAAACATCACAATTTAATGTCTTGCAGTATTGGTCTATGTTACCAGCTTGCAAAATGGAAATTTTAGAGCTCTAAATCAACTACCAATGTATTCTACCTTTCCAAAGACTTAAATATATTACCACCCACTCTGACATACCAGAATATTTCACATAGTAAATCATTTACATTTACATCCAGGATCCCAAGGCTTCAAAATGTTCTTTAAGCTAAAGGAATTAATCTCATAAAACATAGGTGTGGTTTTGTATTGTCTGTATTTCTAAGACTACATTTATCCATCATCAGTTTGGAACCTTTCGTATGCATTTACTGTGTATCTATGAATAAAATATGGTTGTCTGCTAGGATTTTTATCATTCTAAATGCATACCTAGTCTTTCACTATCTAATTTCCTTTTGTGCATTGTCCTCAACATGCAATCCATACTTTAGAACTTATTTATGATCTCTGCTGCACAGAATTTTGGCAACTGAAATGTAACTTAAGTGTTTTGAGGTGAGGGTGAAGACGACAATTTGATGCTGAGTTCTGTTATTCATTTGATGTATAGTCTCGTACCAACAGTACAGCAGATTATCTGTGACATGATGTCATACTGAACTGCTGACAACTGTAGTTGTGTTCCATCATGGTTTTGCCATTTCTGCTTTCCTGTTATTCACACCATTGCAAAAGTGAAGCAATTCTGTGCTTGTCTTGCATTGGGTTTTTGTAATACTGTAAATGAGAAGACAATGAAAACCCACCAATCTATAACAATATCTGTCACTTTTGAGAAGCAACAAATTAAAGACTAAAATTCCTTTGAGGCTACACAACACCACCCATCAATTTGATTTGGAAAAAAAAAAAAAATCAATATGAACAACAGATACCTGTTTAGTGTTGGTAGGAGACAAGGTATTGTTTCTCTTCTCTGTAATGCTTTCTGAATTTGTGAGCAATTTACCTGATGCCATCTGAAAGAAAAATGTTTAAAAACCACTTTTTTTTCTTGATGAAGACCTTAATGATTCAACAAAGCATCATAATTTCCACCCTTATTAGTTCAAATTCTGAGCTATGAGGCTTCTTTCACAGCATATTACTTATAAATCAAATACTTTCATAGCTTGTGTCTAGGGGTTATATGAATATTAGGGCTCTGGGAAATACTAACAGCAGTCTCCTCTATGACTTCCTATATTCCCTCAAGTCTTATTATAAAGGAGAGAGCAGAATGTGTTCTCCCTTGAGGAAGGAGGAATGGTCACAAAGAGGACAGCTGCATTAAGAATACTGTGGCAATAGGACCAAAGGAAAACTGGTAAAAGATTATGAAAGAATATTATTGTAGAAGAGAGAGATACATACATAAGTAAAAAGAAAGCTAAAAAAATAAAATTCATAGGGAAGAACATGTGGATTGGATAGAAGCCAAAGGGGTAAAAAAAAAAAAAAATTGAAAGAAATACACTGATAACACCCATCTTAAGGCAGGCTTCAAGACTGAAAAGCAATAAACTTTCTAGCAATACACAAAGTCTTTTAAAAGACAGAGTTCTATTTAAAAAAAAAAAAAAAATCTAACCTGTTGCTTTTGTTCTTCTGCTTTGTCTTTAGTAACAGCCTCACATGCTTCTTGACCATTTCTTTCTTCTTTTTGAACAGTAACCAGCTCTTCAGAAAACTCCTCTTTCTGCCATGTGGAAATGAAATTAAGTAAGCTTATACACAATAGAAGGTAGCAATTGTTAGCTACACACTGACTTATGCTCTGTACAACAGAGTAGAAAAAAAAATAAGTGAAATCTTATCTAAAACCTGTCATCAGCACAGGTATAAGTTGCTTATGGCAAAAATATGCAGCAAAACCTGATTTATTAATTCCTGGACAAGCAAAGACAACATTTTTCAAAGCTGAAGGGATCTTTTCTGAGGCAGGGAAAGCACAGGACACCAAAGACTGAAGAACTCAAGTGGTTGGTCGAGAATCTGAGGAATATTAACCAATTTGTACCTAGCATAAGTAAGGGAAAATAGAGGATTAAGAAGAGACACTATTAGGAAAAAAGAGGATAAACAACAAATCCAGAAAAAAAAAAAATCAGCATTTCAGGAAAACAGTTCTAGGGAGGAAAGAAACATTTATGAGTCTCTAGAATGTTCAAATTTGTCTAAAAGGTGGAAAGGGGAGCATGTGTTCTAAGCACAAAACATAACCAGGCAGAATTTGCATTCCTTCTTGTTTTCCTCCCTCCTTCAACTTCCCATCTGGACAGTCCATAACCACTCTGAATGTAGTTAACTGTACTTTAGATGGGCTACTTTACCCTTCTTTTTGGCTAATACTTATTTCTAGTTTAGGTCTCAAAGACTGCACAACCTGTTACAAAGCACTTACATACAGAAATCTGGACAACCATACTTTATTTTATGAAGACTTCACGAATCCTTTAAAATTGTCATGGAAGAAATCTACAGATTTCAAAGAACATTACAGTGGCACAATGTAAGAAAAACCCAAAGTTTTAAAGTTACAGTTTTGTGCATTTCACATCTTTAGCTGTCTAGCCAACTTACAGTCTTAAATAAGTTCTTGTAAGAAAGTGCTACATTGTTAATTTTCCATTCTAACATTAAACAAGTGGAAAATTCTGTGTGATCTGTTCAATCTATTTTTTTTAAGAAAAAATAGTCTTTAATTTTGCACTTGAAAAATCCAAGAGTTTTCTTCTGACATTCAACAGCCATGTAAAATCAGGAAAGACTGCACAATACATTTCCCCTTAATTTGTTATGCTTTAAAAATGACAGGAAGTGAAACTGAATGCATAGTCATGGCATTCCATACTCATGGCATTCCATACTCATGGCACCTATTTGTGTAAATAATTTGCTGAATGATTTATTCTTCATAAGATACAGACATCAACTATTGAGATATCCTGGAGATGTTCAATAAGCATGTTAGTTTTAAAATCCCAGAATACTGCGTATTAAAAAAATAACATCTTTAGTTTGAAAAAAGTTGCAGAACTACTCTCTATTGCAGAAAATTCATGTTTTATAATATTCTTTTTGACTGACTTTTTTAAAGAATTATCTAAATTAAAGGTTAATCAGTAAATAGTTTATGAATAATTCTCTGTGAAAAAACTGTTCTCCAAACAACTCTATTAAAGAAAGATAACTCTACAACTAGTAAAATTAGTCAAAGTAAAATATTACAATTATTTTGAAATTCCACTTCTCTTGGAAAGATCTATATTATGTTGAGCTAGCAAAAAAGATCAAAGGTTCAAGCCCTGTTCTGACAGAACCTGGGGCTACTGTCCTGCACACAACAGCATTTATGTAACACACGGACTGGGAGAAGAACTTTGAAAAACCTAGCTGGCATTTACATTGGAGTTTCTTTATGGTCGCAGTGCAAGGCAAAGCCTTCTTTCCATACATCTAATGACTTTTGGAACTCATTTTTATTTTTGGCATCTTTTAACTGCTTTTACGTGTACTAATGGATAATTTCAATGTTCATCAGTTTTTATAGTATAATTCTATCAAAGAGAAGTAAACAACGTTCAACATCAACAAAAGCAGGATATTTAAGCATCCTAACTCTTCCAACTTCACAGAAGAATTAACCCATCAGCTACTGCTGCATGTGGGAGATTTTTGATGTATTACTTTGAGAGTGGGGGGTGGAGTAGACAGTCTTTATTACAGAAATCTAGCCCTCTCAGCTGTCTTCCATAATTCCTCCTCAGTTGCTATGTTATACTTAATCATACTTAAAGAAGCTTATCAGAATATGAAACTAAAAATGTTGCTGTTCTCTTTGAAAAGCCATGCTTTTCTAATTCAAATTACTTTGGGTTTAACACAACTTGGGTTTTGGGATGATTTTTCCAATAGGGAGCCAAGCTAGGTTGTTTGGCATTTTATAGATCTAGCAGTTACTTATACTACAGTACCAAGGAAAGAAGAAATATGAAAAAAGGTATTTGTCTAGATACTCAAAAAATTGTAACATTTTCCCCTAAAGGTTACTTGAAAGCAGTAACAGTTCTGAAAGAAGTTGAGAAAAAGAAACCTAGGAGGAATGTTTAGTGCACAAACAAGTAGCACATCGTCGATTCATTACAATCATTACTTAAGATAATGGAAAAGTGAACAATTAAGAAATGCTTCATACTACAATAGACGATCCTCAGCTAAAAAGTACTGATTCAGATGCTAAGCCTGATAAATTGATGTAGATGCAATATAGTCTCCAGATAAAAAAAAAAATATATATACCTTAATCTCCTGAAGTTCTCTCAGAGATCTGCACAACTCATCAATAGAATTAATGATTTCTTTGTGCTTTAACATGGCTTTTTCAACATACTTCTTTCCTTCTTCAATACCTAAAAAGGTAAAACAACAAGAAAGTAGAACAGAATGCCTCAAACAGATGTGTAACAACCAATGTACTTTGTAACCCCCACATACTACAATAATTACATTTTTCTGTGTTTTGTTTTGCTGAAGGAGTTCTGTGATTCTTCAGCTATGTGCTTTTCTACCTCTTACTAGCATACTTGAGATGGGCCCTCATAGTTGCTGCAGATCTTCTGCTAGGCTTCTCCTTGAACAAAATTACATCTATCTGGTTAGTGATACTGCTTTAAAAGATGCTGACCTCATAAAGTGTCTCCTAAACTAGTTGCCTTATTATACAGCTAGGAGGCACTTAGATCACGATTACAAGAAATACAAAACAAAGGCAGGATGGAGAAGCTTTTTCCTTTGTAAGGACTTAAAAAACACAAAGCAGCTTCTTTCTCCCAGCCATCTTAATCAGCTGGTGTCAAGAATCCATTCTGTCAGCTCCTTTCCTACAGATAGGAAAGTTTAGCATATTGAGAAGGTTAAAAAAAAAAGAAGAAAAAAAGGCGATCTGTGCTCCCTAAATAGTCTTTTCAACACTAAATTAGAGGAATTTAAAAGCACAGTCTGACTGTTGAAATTTTTTCAGATTTACTGCTTGAATTGATAGGCTAGTATCCTTGCACATTTGGATGGTCACCTTACCTTTGGATAAAATAACTTCAACAAGTATATAAACATTACAAGTGGGAGGAAAAAAAGCAAAACCTGAAGTTTGTTGACCTTCATTCTTTTTGGTCAACAATCATAGAATCGTTTAGGTTGGAAAAACCTTTAAGATCATCCAGTCCAACCATTAACCTAACATTACCAAGTCCACCACTAAACCAATTAATGTTCCAAATCAATACAATTGCAAATACAGTATTTAAGCAACAATCTACATTTTTGCTAATAAAATGCTTAAGAAAGTTGGCAATCAAATACCACTAGTTATTCACAGTGTTAACGTAAAAAAGTCACCCAACACTGAGGTATATCACTGTAATGTACTTTGACTTCAAAGGCTTGCCTGTTAAGAGAGAGCATAAGCCATGAAGTCTTAATTCCAACTCATAAATATTACAAGGACATTCATACTTTCATTTCAAGGTGAACTCAGGCTGCATGCAGAAAACCAAGTAATTACTAGACTGTTGAGTACTTTCATATTTTCACTTTTTAAATATTTGTTTTGAAATCCTTCACCTCTTCCAGTCAATACTGTAAAACATTTGTGTTTTAAACTTCATGGGATTTTCTTCTTAAATGAACAAATCTAGAAATCTGCTTCCTCTTATCCTAAGTTATTGTATTTTTTTCCCCACAATACATTACCAGACAGCTCCTCACCATATAACCGTTTAGCAAGGTCTATAATCTGCTGAATTTTTTCTTCTTGTTGAGGCACTGTAGGCTCAATAAACTTCTTGAATTGCTTGTAAAGGGTCTCTATTGCTTCTCTTGTTTTGCATTCTGCAGAATACTTGCCAACTCTAACAACTGTTGCACTCACATCTTCAAACCAAAATTGACACTGAGGGATAAAAGCACTGCATTATAATGAATTATTATCAGCAGTTCAAGCTTTTGTAGAATAGACTGGACTATTCTTAGACTTTCCATAATCAGTGGCATACAGTATGTCTTAAATTTTCTGATTTTAATTTAACCTGAAAAACAATTGTTCATTACCAATGCTGCTTCAAATATTAATAGCTGCTAAATTTTCTTTAAACACTAGATCCATTCTCATCTTACAAGCATGGTGAGGTTATGAGTTAGTTCTGCAAACATATGTTTTATTTCTGAGTTCTTTCCACTTTGTATATCAACTGACTAATTTCACAAACTTTGTTTCATGGCCACAGTTACACCTCTGTAAGGGCAGCGAGGTTGCTTAGATTTAGTCCACTAGCAAACAGGGGTTTTGGTCTCAGCAACTGTTAAAGTTGCTAGGAGTCTTTCTACTGACAAGAATGGGCTTCAGAACATACCCTTAATAAACACTTTTGGTTAACAATACTCAGAGGAGGATGGAATCTGGTGTTCACTCAGTATCATCCGTATTACATCATTACAGCAAGCAGCTAATAATCACCATTTTTAACTGCCATTAAAGTCAGTATTTAAGACTCTGCCTATTTGCTGAAAGAAAACTGTTGAGTAAAAGGTGATACTTTACACTGAGTAAAAAAAAAAAAAAATGCAATCTTAAATTTTAGCTGTAGGAAATAATTTATTTCCCTCAAAGTAAGGGAGGAGTTTAAAAATGTAAATGCACAACAAATGGTAACAAATTGCTTTGCTAACAATATATGAAATGACATATTGATCAGATCACTGGACACTGAAAATACCTTTTAAACAAAACTTTAGTATTGCAATCCATCATTGAGGGAATTTATTTGTGATGCATTTAGATCACTTTGGAGATATGAACAGTGTTAAAAATAAACAATGATGACAGGAATGTGCTTGCCTCACAGCAGATGCACCAGCATAATGTGGCAAGAGGGAAAATACTGTTACAAACCTTTGCTTTTCTTTCAAAATAGGCAATGCATGAGGCAGTCCTCAGACACATTAAAATAAAGTTACAAAGTCTCCAAAAAGACTTAGACTGCAGTTCAGAAAAAAAAAAAAAAAATATACACATACTTAACAATTAAGTCTATTAAAAAAAAGTTATGTGCTGCTTTTAAGGAACTGAATATTATACATTTCAGTTCCAGAATTACATACCACACAGACAGCTCTTCCTGACAACTAACACAGTGGGTATTGTGATAACCTGGCTCTTGTGGTTTGAGAGCTATCAAAGAGGGCCTTGTGACACTTTCTGTGTTGCCTCAGAATATACTTAGAGAAAATGAGCTCATAAATATGGTCATAGATTTGCTGAATCACTATGAAAGTCATATGGAGGTGGAGACCCCAGTCCTATGCATAGCAATGCAAGAATATGGTCACGTTGCATGGGGGTTTCCCCCCGCTTTCTGCAAAAAGTTACAAAGAAAAAATAGAAGAAAACACAGATTTTTACCAATCTACTACTTTTGGAAGCCACAGATTTTGCCTGAAGTAGTTATAAGCACTTTTATCTATCCCAGTCCTGGATCATTATTACAGCCACAGTGGGGATCTCAGGTTTACTAGTACCTCTTCCATCATCTGTTGTAGATGCTCCACGAGATCCAGACTTTGCTTGTAATCCTCCACAACTCTGCTAAACTCCTTCAGCTGTTTTTGTAAGTCACTCATTGACCTCAAGAGTACTCTAACTTTAGGATTAGGTTCATTTGCTACAGAGCCAATGACTTTCTTCTCTAAATTATCCATCTTCTTTTTAAGAATCTGTTTAAAAGATGTAGCAATGTTAAATACCACAACAAAAATGTTTATATTTTTAGAAATAAAAAGTAAAAAAACATGGGAAAAACCACACAAACCTATTTTTTGTCCTGTGTTTTAAAAATTACAAGTTGCTTTTTCAAAAATCAAAAGAAACTGGAGGGCCTCTAAAATGCTGATTAAAATCAATGTAAATTATATTTATTAAAGGTGGCATTGAGCGACATTTTTCAGCTTAAAAATAAGCAAATATCTGTAGTAATTAAACATGGGATCTTGAACAAAACAAATTCCACTGAATCTGGAAAGGAGAAAATACTACTAAGCCTTTGGAGTCTTTGATCAAATACAAGTCAATTTAAGTATCACATTTATTTATGACCTAGAATATTAATACATTGCTTAAGAATTTGATGTAAGCAACATCACTGACAATCTAGCAGAGTTGCAAAGACCAAGGGGAACAAGTATTCATACTAGTACTTTGTGATGTCTGGTATAAACATGACCTGTAAGTTTTAGGATAAGATGGTATACATATATACGTTTATATATTCTATATCCTGGGAACACTGGTCTTGCCAGTTGATCAAAACTTTGTTGTGCTAGCTGTTTTACAAGTGATGCAAAAAGAGAGGTCCTTGATTTTTGTTTGGAAAAAATAGTATTTAGTGAACTGTCCACATATACACTTGTAAGAATATACACTGGTAGGAAGAGTGTTGCCAGCAGGTCAAAGGAAGTGATTATTCCCTTCTACGTAGCACTAATGAGGCTACATCTGGAGCCCTGTGTCCACTTCGGGCTCCCCAGTACAAGAAATACCTGGACATACTGGAGCAAATCCAGCAAGAGGCCACCAAGATGACTGAGTGACTGAGCATGTGTCATAGAAGGACAGACAGAGCTGGGATTTTTTAGCCTGGAAAACAGAAGGCTCAAGGTGGATCTTATCAATGTGTATGAAAAGATGATAGAGGGGGAGTAAAGAAAACAGAGCCAGACTCACCTCAGTGGTGTCTAGTGAAGAGACAGGAGGCAATAGAAACTGAAATACAGAAAATTCTGTTTACGGGAAAAAAAAAAACAATCCCACTTTTTACTCTGAGCATGGAACAGATTGCCCACAGAGGTTGTGGAGTCTCCATCACTGGAGATATTCAAAACCCAGCTGGACATGACATAGAGCAACCTTTTGTAGTTGATCCTGCTCTGAGGAAGGAATATCAACTGGATGATCTCTAGGGGTCCCTTCCAACCTCAATGATTCTGTGATTTGAATTTGCATTTGTGGATGAAATTGCCAAGAAAGGAAAAAAAAGGTTGTAAAAGGAATAGTCAATGACAACAAAAGAAATAGCTAAAACAGAATCATAGAAACTACTGAAAATTTCAAGTAAAAAAGTTGTGAAGGAAGAGACTGGCAGGGCAAGCAAAACAAAAAGTGCTAGTTCTGATTGGCAACTAAAAAGGTCATTGGAAGCTTTGGAAGAAGAGTTTCTGGTGAATGCAAAGAATGGGTGTGACTAGCAGGGTTCTAAGGCGCAAGTGAGCATGATGAACTCCAGGCAATGGATGCAGAAAAAGGTTCTGAAGACTTACATGTTGAAACGAGAAAGACAAACAAGTAGCTGGGTGCAAGAGGGAATCTGTGTGCGTTTATTGTTGATTTGTTGATTTTGACGGGGTATTTGTTTTATTTTGTTTTTTTAAGAAGACAGAAGACTAGGTCACATACTGTGAAGGAACACAGGCAAGAAGAATAAAAGATTAAATAGAAAAATAATGGACGATAAAAGGAGTGAACACAGAGAAGTCAGGAATTGAGATAAGATCATTTCACTGAAGGAATGGAAGAATAAAAGGAACAGAACAATGAAAAATGTCTCAATCAGTGACTGAGACAGGGGAAGGACATAAAACTGAGTAACAGGGAAGCTCATAGTACATTTTACATCTCTGATATGCTTGGCACAGGCCACAGCAATTCAACCAGTGAAGCCTTCACAAAGACTAAAATTTCTGATATTACCTGTATTTTCTCTGCAGATGTATCAACTTGCTGAATCTGTATTTTAAGTACTTTCAGATTTCGAGCTTTTTCAGTTTTCTTTGTATAGTTAAACTTCAAATTGTTGAATTTCTTTTTGAGATCCTTAAATGATTCTCTGAGCTGAAACAGAGTAAGCATATTTGTTAGTAAAAAAAGAAACCAGCACACTTCAATTTAGTTTTTTTCAACAGCTGTTTAACAGACCACAATCTGAACACTGAAAATTTAATACAGAAATTAATAATACTATGCCAACTCATAAAGCATCCTTGTTTCCTCAGAATTTCTTTTCAGTAGTGGAAACTCATAATCTTACTAAATCAACAATTTTGCATTCTGAATGCTGAGTATTGTTTCCAAATGCAGGGGCAAAAAAAGGTTTGGGGCAAAGGATGAGATCCTTGTTCAGACAATCTATGAAAAAATCCTGCCCAAGAGCTTTTATTGATTTAAACTAGAGGCAGATGTCCTTCACATACTCTAGTCCATTTGTGGAAATGGTAGCCACGTAAATGTATACCCATGCTTAATTTCTAGAAAAACAGTTTTACTGGGCTTGGGCAAGTAGATTTGTATTTATTCATAGTACTTTTCTCCTACAATACAACATTTAATTTACGTCAGGTTGGGGGGGGGGGGGGGGGAAGGTTTGGGGTTTTTTACCCTCCTTTTTCAGAAGCCCTGCTTCTGAAAGGGTCTTAATTTTATACACTGTGCTAGTCCAAACATCTTAGTACAATTATTCACAGCATACAAAGATGAATCCATCTCTTTACAGGATCAGGATGTAGACTATATGAGCATCTGCTTTTCAATAACTTTTCTGTGAGTATGGTAGCAGAAAGATTCTGCTTAACAGATACCCAGAGAAAGCCTTGCCTAACTTGCCTCAAGTTGCACCAGGGGAGGTTTAGATTGGATACTAGGAGAAATTTCTTCACAGAAAGGGTAGTCCAGCATTGGAACAGGCTGCCCAGGGAAGCAGTTGAGTCACCATCCCTGGAGGTATTTAAAAGACACGTAGATGTGGCACCTAGGGTCATTGTTTAGTGGTCGACTTGGCAGTGCCAGGTTAATGGTTGGACTTGATCTTAAAGGTCTTTTCCAACCTAAACAATTCTGTGATTCTATGATATTACAGTTACTTTTGAATGCCTTTAAGCAACAGATACAATAACCAGACAAGTAAAAATCCTGCTTAAAATATGCTTCTGGTACCTTATAAAAGGTTCTATTTTAATTACATTGCAATTCCATGATCACATTTTCAAATTATTTATAATTAATTCATAAAATTTGAAATGGAAGACTATAAAAACAACTGAAATAATTTTTTTTGAGAATTTCACATCCTTTGGGTTGACAATCTTTTGCTTCTAGGAGAATGTAGAATAAATTATGTGAAATGATATTTATCTAAAGGAACTGATACAAAAGAAATGCAGCACTTCTAATGCTTTAGGGTCTGTTCCTCCAGACACACAAATGAAAAGATTAGTGTTAACAAGGTCAGGTCACATCCACAATTTGATATTTAGTTAACATATTTGAGGCTTTTTTTTTTTAAATATTAAAAAGTCCTCCAGACTTTCCCCTGCCGCCCTCCTGCTCCCCGCCAAGGAATCCAGGGAGCAATGGATGCTCATTTTGCAGCTACTGTTATTGGAACAGTTAGCAATCAATCATTATTATTATTATTACATACTAATGTTAATCCATCAAGGGATATATTTTTCATTTTCATTTCATCTAGTGGGATGTTGCCACATTATTTCAGCGGTGAATAGCCAGATGGTTTTCACTCAGTGTAACAGAAAGGAAGGGAATTCTATCACCGGCACTCTGATCTCCAATTAGTTTAAGCTCTTTATCCCACCTAAGTACACAGAATAATAAAACCTATCTAAAAGCCCTCTGTTAATAAAACCGCTTCTGCAGAACAATAATTTGTATTCAGAACGTAAGAGCCTTATTTGCTGGTTTAATTTTGAGGAAAAGAAAAGATGAGCAAGAGCTTATTTTAGTTTATTTCACTGGCTTATGGACATACATAGGCTAGTGATCATTTATAAGGCCAGAGGCTCTCCTCTCCTCATAGCAGCCTGTGAAATTAGATCACCTTGTTTCAGATATGATGGCTCATGTGTCAAAGGTCTGCAGCTGCTGTCACTCTTCTCTTTTAGCCTCAGTGGAAAAACCAGATTCATCTGAGACTTGTACATCACCCCCTCAGAGTGCATCTATACAACTCCTGTTCTCATCAGCAATTGTACCAACAATGATATATGGCTGCCAATTTTTAGAAATCTAAATGTATCTCAGTTTTCCACTATTTTCTGCAAAATTAAATGAGAAATACTAAAAGAACTATACACCCGAATACACTTCAGTGACTTCAGACAACAAGTTTAATGGAACTTTGTAACTTGTCCATTGTCATAGTCATTAATCAGGCAGCTGTTCCTAACTATAGTTGGCCTGTCATGGGTGGAGAATGATAGTGGAGGAGAGGGGTTTAGGTGCCAATTGCTCTGATTCATCACACAACTACAAAATAAATGGAAAAAGCAAGTTATAAAGCTGCTTTAAACATGTTTTTGTTAATAGTACAATTCCAGTAAAATGCTTTGATTCCTGTGTGAGCCACTCTAGGAAGTACTTCAGTGTTGTTAGCCACTTACACTTCCCTTTTTATTCATTCATAAAACTTTTAGTAGCACTAATAATCAAAATAGCCCATGAAAGCAGGTTGCTGAAAGTAGATTTTCAAAGTGGCAAAGATTAAAGAACAGACAGAAGCAAAGCCAGCCAGAAAGCAGGAAGAAAGAAAAGGTGCTCTTCAAGTCATTAATGATTACTTTAATTCTGAGACCACAATCAAAATAAATTACAAGGTGAGAAATATGCTAAGAAGTATCAGTTCCTAATGACTTGTGAACAGAGATAGCTCATTACTCTCCATGGTTAAAATCCACATTTTCAGTCATACCTTTCCATAAGTGTATAAATAATGACATGATGAAGAGGAAAAGTGAGATGACTGGGGAGAGCTGAGAACCTACTTCAGGATGTTACTCTTCCATTGCAAGTTTCGTGCAGACATGCATAAATGTTATTTTTAAAGTGATCACCTAAAGAAAAGGCTTTTTCATTGCAAAAGTTATCTTATGTAAATAATTGTGTCACTTATAATCCTGTGAACAGATTCAGTGTAGTATTAAGCTACAGTTACCCGAGGCCTGACTCAGCTCCATCACAAATGATTGCAGTGTAATGCAGTGGAGTTGCAGCTCTTTGGAGGCTGCTACCCAAGCTAGTTAGTGAAGCAGGAAGCCCAAACTGGCAAATACAGATCTCAAAGGTCATATGAGCTTTCCTTATACCTTTCAAAGATGTAGAAGGCATAAATCCTTTTTTTGGCCTTTGCAAATTCTCTTTAAATTAGAGAAGGCACTCAAAAGGCATGCATTTTACTCTTCTGTTCTCCAAGCCTGTTTCAAAACTCATGCTATGTACCCTTGGCTATAAATTGAAGTATTTGTTTCCTTGCTTCTTACAGAAGCACTAATATGTTACAAACACAGGGATCTAGCCAAGTCCTCTAAGTATGGTATTTTCAAACACCAGTGAGTTCTAATCACCAAAGCCCTCACTCACATGCTTTATTTACACACTTAAATTCACCACATTAAATGTAAATTAATTGAACTATTTAAAGCAGAATTCCAAATATTTTCAGTCAACTTTAAAGTTTGCTCTGTACACTGGTAAATCACAACTAAATTATCTGGGTTGGCTGTTTACTATGTGACAGCTATGAACAGCTGCTGCTTGCTGCTGCCACATGAAATATTTATTTGCTTAGATATAGTAGATGGTAAAGAAATTGTTATTTCAGACAGGTCTGCTAGATACTAGCAATACTTTGACTAATTTCTGCTGTTAAAATTAACGGAATGTAAAATACTGAAGTGAATACTCATAACTTTAGCATTCTTGAAGTAGTTCAGTGTCTGGTTTCTTGATCCCTAAACAGAATTAGTTATAAATACTTAATGAAAAAAACGAAGAAAAATGGCAGTGGTTTAATACATATACAGGTACATTAACCAAGTATTTAGGAAATGTCTTCTATGCTAACCTCTAATAGAAAAGGAATCTAAAGAAAAAGGTATCCACATGCCAAATTAGTACATTGTAGTTAATTTACAGTCAAGATTCAGTTAAGTCTGGGGATGACAGGTTTTAGCTTAACAGCCAACATGGCTTTCCCAACTTAAAGGGG